GCTCCGTGGGGGGCACGGGAGTGGCTCCATTCACCTGGGACAGCTTCCGCTTTTTTTTCTGCAGCTTTGGGGTCTTGGCAGGGGTGCTGGGGCTCCTGGCAGGGAGGTCTGGGGCTGGACTCTTGGCAGCAGGCGTCCCGTTCACGTGGGACTGAGCTGGGACCTTGGCCTTCATCCTGTTCCTCTTCTTCTTGCCGGTGCTGGGGGGCTGGCTCCCACTGGTGACTGCAGGCTTGGCATCCTCCTCTTGCGTGGTGCCCTCCGACTTCCGTTTCTTACGTTTCTTGGTCTCTGGCAAGAATCCCTTTTTCTTCCGCTTCATGCTAATGGGGCTCTGCGTGGCACTGGGGACTTCCTTGGCATCCTTCTTCTCTGACTTGGGGCGCCTGGGAGGAAATGAGCAAAGTAAGGAAGTGCCCAGTGAGGGCAGGAGTGACCTCCACCTCCAAGGTCCCATGGGACTCAAGCTGCCCAAAGCTCACACATCCGAGCGTGTGCAGCATGAGGGTCTTTCCAGCCTCTCCCAAGGTGTGGGCCCTCCTCCCGGAACGTACGGGACTCCAAGGATCTTCATGGCCTGCCAGTAGAGGTCGTAGAGGCGGCCGGACCCGGTCGAGCGCTCCCCCTGCTGCAGCCCCGGCTGTCGGCTCTGCAGCACACCCCGGACGACGGTCAAGTCCGTAGTCAGCTTCTGCAGAGGGGCGGAAGGCTGCTGCTGCAGTGGGGAGGGGAGGCGGGGCCTTTCCCCGGCTCTTGGTTCCCAGTCCTCCCACCCTTGCCCAGTTACTGCCCCTCTAGTGACCCGACGCCTTTTTCTGGACCCTCAGCCACTCCTTCTGCGTGGAAATCACCAGTCTCTCTCGTCTCGGGAGGAAAACGGAGCCTCAGATGCCATCTTCGTTCCCCCTTCCCACAGTCAGAAGGCCCGCTCTCCGCTTCCTTACCTCCCACCTGTCCTCCCTCAGTGGCTCCGGCTTGCCCACCTCTGAGGGCACCATGCAGTGACCTCAGCATTGCCAAAGCCCTTCTTCCCATCTCACCCTCCCTGACAATAGGTTATTTCTGAAACCCACTGGCTTCCAGAACACCCCTTTCTCCTGGCTTTTTACCACCACACTGAGTACTGCTTCTTAGGCCCACTGGCTGTTCCGCAAGGCCCTGGCCCAGGCCCCGTCTCTTCCCTCCAGCCCCTCTTGGCAAGCTCGCCCTGCATGTGCGCTCTGACCAGTGTCTCGCTGAGGACTCCCAGACCTTTCCCTCTCAGTCAGACTGGGGGAACCAGACACTCACTCAGAGCTGCCTCCTGGCCCTCAACCTGATGGCCACGAGCATCTCATGCTCCACCCACCCCTCCCCCCCCGCCTGGAAACCTGGGCTCCTTCCTAATAGCTACCCACCAAGAATCTTCTTCTCCGCTCACCGTCTGCCGCCCCCCCAGGCGCTCCCCAGCTTTCTGACTGGAGCACACCCTCTCGCCCCCGCCCATCAGGCACAGCCGTGGCACTCTGCCCTCCCAAGGTGGTCACCTTCACCCATGGCTCTCTAACGAGCCAGATAACCTCACCCTGCCATCTAGCACTTTCCCCACACGGCTGCCCACTCGCCCCCAAGCCTTTGCCCAGACTGGTTCCTCTGCCTGCTGGTGACCTCCCTCCTGAGCTCTAGGCTCACCTCATGATTAATAGTCTTGAAAAGAACGTTGAGCAGCTCCAAGGAGGACAGCTCCTTCTGGTGCTCCAACTTGGTCTGGGCCTCACCCAGCGTCCGCAGGTTCTAGGAAGCAGGAGGCCAGGCTGAACCCCTCTGGAGAGCTGCCCGAAGCCTTTCCCTTTTCCATAAGAGAGACTCGAGCCCTGAGGGAGGAAACGTCTCCCTCCCTGGGGCAACCCCAAACCCACCCAAGGCTCAGGGTCCCAGTAACCCTCGCTCCGTGGTTCCTGAGGGGTGTGGGAAGGGATTCCCGAGACCGTTACCTCAGTGACCTTCGCCAGGATCTGGCCGACCAGCTGCTCCCACTCGGGGTCCTCAAAGCACAGTCGCAGCTCCCGCGTGGGCAGGGTCTTCTGGAGCAGCAGGCAGGCCTGGGCCTGGGGTAGGGGGAAAGTGGTCACCGGAGCCTCGGCATGCCCGGCCAAGGCTTAGGGAACTGCAGGGGGACCCCAGGAGCTCTGGGAGCCCGCTGGGCCCCTGATAAGTCCACAACTCCAGGCTACATGTGAGGGGCTGCCTGCTGCCTGGGGTGTCACCACAGAAGCTCTGGCCCAGCAATCATCTGGTCCTGTCCCCTTTTCTCAGGCTGGTGGGGGAACCGGGGGGCAGCAAGGGCTCCCAGCTGGACAGAAGTGGCAGCACCTCAGGCTGAGACAGTACCAGGCCCTCTGACCAGCTCAGTGCCATCTTCCTCCAGCGTCCCCAGCCCCCTTGTCCCTCTAGCCCCAGGCCTGCCCCTTTCAGCCGGGCACCTGAGCAAACAGCTAGGGGCTTCCTCTGTGCAGGTCAGAGCGTGAGCTCTAAGGAGCCGAGGGCTCAGGCCACATGGGCAGTGGCAGCTGTGGGAGCAAAGGTGCCCCTCCCCCATCCCCACAGCTACTCTGTGCCTAAGGGGGAGGGGCTGGCAGGTCAGAGGGGCACAGGTGGGGTGGGGTGGGGTGGGGTGGGTCGGATCCCCCCCACTCCCTTGCCTCTCTCCTCTTCCCCTACCCCAGGGCAGCACTCCTGGGCCTGACAAATACCCAGCCAGCAAGGAGTCAAGTGGGTAATTCCAACAGGCCCTGGGCTGGGATCTGGGAAGCCCCTCACCTGATGGCGGGGCCGCGTTTGGCCTGTCACGTGCTGGACCACGACGGGGAGCAAGCTCTTGCAGAGCACCTAGGGAGGGAATGACATGGCTGGGAGGTGGGGGCTGGGCTGAGCAGGCACCCCAAGGGGATGGACTGGTCCCCCCACTCACCGGGTGCCGGGAGAAGAGGCTGAGGAACATGGGAACAGTGAGCGGGCTGTTGCGCTTGGTCAGGAAGGAGCTCAGCGCTGAGGAGTAGATCGGGGTCACGAGGCTCAAATCCAAAGAGCTGGGAGCCTGGGCCGTGTGAGAGAGAGCTGGTGTGACGCCACAGAGAGGGGTCTCTGGTATGGGGGCAGAGCCTGGCTGCCTTCAGAAGGCTGCAAGGCGGGTCCTAGGGAAGTCATGGCCTCAGCTCCCCATCCGTGAAATGGGTGGGTGGCCCGGTCTGCTCACCTCTGGTCCCTTGGGCTTGGTGCTGGTGTCAGGGCCAGCTCTCTCCTTCTTCTGGCTCTTGGGGATGGACCTTTCAGCAGTGTTGCCCTTCAAGACCCGCAGCAAGTAGAGAGAGGCATTGAAGTAGTAGAGGGAGAGGGAGGAGTCGGCCTGGTGGCTGGCCTGCTGCACCAGCCGCTCCACCTGGGTATACAGCGTCTCCACGTAGCTGCCCACATCGTGGCAGTAGTGCCGGGAGCGGCACAGGTGGTGTCTGTGGGGTGAGAAGGGGCAGAGCTGGTCCCAACATTCTCTTTCCACCCCTGCCCCCCGGCAAGCAGAGCTCACCCCAAGAGGAGGGACCCAGAGTCCCATTTTGCAGGCAGGGAAACAGACATGGAGAGAAAGGACCTGAGCAGGGCCACAGAGGGAGGCACAGGGCCGCCTGCAGATCTGCTCTGAGGACACATCGCGGGGAGACTGGCTTCTGGGTTGAGGCTGCACAATAGGCCAAACACCCCCGACCTGGTCCATATCTCCCGTCTGCACCTATCTCTTATGGGACAGTGGCTTCCAGGCCCTTTGCAAAGCAAGACCAGGTTCTGTGCTCAGAACCCGGCGTGGCCCCACAGGGCTGGGAACAGGATGGGGACAAGAGGCAGGACACTCTAACACAGTCAGTGCTGCCCAAGCAGGTGCCAGCGAGAAGAGAAAGTGCGGCCTGGGGCTGGCCCAGGAGATGAGCTGGGGGTGCACTATCCATCACGCCCCCTAACCCCTCCGCGCTGTACACTCGGCACCCCAAGCCCTCTGGCCTCCGTCTCCCGCGGCCTCTGTGCTCCAGAAGGCAGGTCTGTGCCTGTCACCTGCACTGTCTCCTTGCAGTCTCACTGCCATCGCCTCCGTCCTGGGCTCCCTGCTCTAGTACAGCCCATCCTGCCGCCCCACTCACCCGCGTTCTTGCTGATAAACATACCCACAGCTCCCCAATACTGCTAGGGTGGGGTCCATGAGGCCCGTTACACTCCAGCTGCATCTGACTGGCTTCCATCTGGACCCTCCTTTCTGCCCCGCCTCTGGGCTCCAGGCCTGAACTCCTCAGTTTCCAGCACTGCTGTCACCTCCCAGGAGACTGCGTTAGGTGTCCCCACCACTTCGTGCTCCCACTGTCTCCCATCCACCCCCGCCACAGCCCCAGGATGTCACTGTCGGACGACTGGTCTGGTTTCCCAACTGCAGCGGTCCCGAGGGCAGGGATGGGACTGGAGGCCCCGAGGACCATGGGTCTGGCGCAGAGCCAGCGCTCAGTGTCAAGAGAATGGATGGATAGATCAAGGACAGCGTGGATTACCGAGTGCCACGTGCCGCCGTGGTGGAGCAGCGAGCCTTGAGAGTCAGGCAGGCCCACTTTAGAGTCTTGACTCCTACCCTTTCTATCTGGGACCCCTAAAGGCCTGGCTCTGCTCTGAGCGTTGGTCTGGGCCTGTCTGACAGCCCCGCCCCACCCCGTGCTCACGTGAAGATGCGGGCCGTCTTGTGTAGC